ATGATGTACCCTATGATCCTATTAAGGAAACCATCTTCGGCTACTCGGAGTGGCAACAACCACCACTCCTCGAGGTGCTCTGCAACGGATGGCGCCTCCAGGCGATGGTGGATAGCGAAGCGTCTCACTCGGTGTGCGACCGTGGAATGTTGGAGAAATTTGGAAAGTCCTATAAGGAGACCCAGTTCGCAGCAACAATGGTGGACGGCAGCAAGCTACCCATCTATGGCGAAGTCGCCCCCCAACTACAGATAGGGTGTTGCGATGGAGACCTATACTCCTGTCACCAACATCAAGAGTTTGGATTTCATCTTGGGGCGTGACTACTTGAAGCGGTTCAACCTTGAGATTGACTGGGTCAACCAGAAGGCGAGCATCTACAACAACGGGGAGAAGGTGGAGTTACGGAGCTGGAACGATACAGGCAACATTCCCGAGGTGACACTCGCACGATTCGAGAAGACGGTGAAGGAGAGTAACACAAGTTACATGGCACTGGTGACGGTAGCAGAAGATATTAAAACACACCTCGAGTTACCTGCATTTGTTAGGAAGGTTTTGGAGGAGTACAAGGACATCATGCTAGACCTACCTGCGGGTATAGCACCAGAGCGTACTCACCAGCACATAGTACCCTGATTGTTGTTACTCCCCTTTATTCCACTAAAGCCCAACAAGAAAACGAACAAGAACAAGAACATGAGCAAGAACAAGAACAATAACAATAACAATAACAATAACAATAACAATAACAATAACAATAACAATAACAATAATAATAACAATAACAATAACAATAACATTAATAATAACAATAACAATAAGAAGAACAACAACAGCAACAACAACAACAGCAAGAACAACAAGAACAAGAACAAGAACAAGAGCAAGTGCAAGAGCAAGAGCAAGAGCAAGAGCAAGAGCAAGAGCAAGAGCAAGAGCAAGAGCAAGAGCAAGAGCAGAAGCAAGAGCAAAAGCAAGAGCAAGAGCAGCAGCAGCAGAAGCAGCAGCAGCAGCAGCAGCAGCAGCACAGCAGCAGCAGCAGCAGCAGCAGCAGCAGCAGCAGCAGCAGCAGCAGCAGCAGCAGCAGCAGCAGCAGCAACAGCAGCAGCAGCAGCAGCAGCAGCAGCAGCAACAGCAGCAGCAGCAACAGCAACAACAACAGCAACAACAGCAACAACAACAGCAGCAACAACAGCAGCAACAACAGCAGCAACAACAGCAGCAACAACAACAGCAACAACAACACCAACAACAACAGCAACAACAACAGCAACAACAACAGCAACAACAAACAGCAGGCTCCTTAACACCCAGGTATGGCACTCGCCAGGCATGCCTAGCCGTCTGCCTTGGCTCGATCATGCGGTCAGCCTCGGCCGCCGCTCCGCGATTGTTGGGGGTCTCCTGGTATAGCACCTCCAGGCCGGTTGCCACGGTGACCTCCCTGACGCCCTCCGCCTGCATCTCCTCCTCCTCTTCCTCAAGAGCCTGCCCAAGCAGGCACGTGTTGTCGCCCGTGGTCCCTCCGAGGCACATGTCCTCGGAGACATCGGTGATGCTCCTCGCACGCAGGTGAGACATCACCAGGTGGTTCTCCGTCCCGTCCAGCTTGCTTGAAATCCCACAGTGGCGGAACGCGTCAATGATGACATGCTTGGGGACTTGATCCCATGCCTCCGCAATCCACTGTAGCACCACGGGGTGCGGAGGCCTCCGCAGGTTCCCTGCGGGTGGGACAGAGGCAGGGACAGCGTCCCGTTAGAGACATGAAAGGGTAACAGGGCTGAATGTTTTTATAAACTTTACTCACCCTTCTTCGTCTTCAGATGAATCCCTTCACACATGAGCCACCTGGCGTAGCCTGCGCGCACCGCGGCCTTGAAGCACCGGTTAATGGAGACGTCCAGGGGTTGAATCTGGCTCGTGAAACCAGCTGGGATTACTGCAGGGGTGATGCTATGCGTACGGTAGGCTTGGAGCATGCCCTGGGTGATGTGGCCTCGTTAGGAGTCCAACACCAGCATCGCACGTCTCGCGTTCTGGCCGCGCCGGGGGTTGAGATGGGGCAGCACCTCCTTGGTCAGCCAGGTCTGCACAGCGCTCTCGTCCATCCACCCGTTATCCTTTGCTTGGACCACGACTCCTGCCAGGCACAGAGGTGAGAGAGGGGAGTCAGCCAAGAAGGGCAATCTCTACATTATTGGAAAGCAGAATTCGAGTAGCTTACCATCCGGAATGTCACACTTCGGCACGTTCTCCCCGGTTGCGGTGCACGCGAGCATCACCGTCAGCCGCGTCTTCTCGTATCCTGTCGTGCGGATCGGGACCGAGCGCGCGCCCTCAATCGTCCTCTCGGCCGGCATCTCAACGAAGAGAGGCGTCTGGTCCGCGTTGATGATGCGGGCCGGGTCGATGTTGTGCCGCGCCCTCTTGATGCGCACTAACTTCCAAAACGCCTCGCAGTCCTTAGCGCATGCCCAGGAAAAACACAGCACAGCAGGAGGGGATGGGTACAAACATGAAAGGTGATTAGAGTGCTAGGCACATAGAGTCAAGCATCGAGCGCGAATTCAATCCCTTAACCACTCACCAGCCGATAACCGTTGGCCGACCTTGGTCTTCACACGCATGACCAGCGGTCACAAAAACGTTGGCTCCAGTGTGAGCTCGCATTCCAGTTCTTCCCGGGGTGGTGTTTCTTCATCCACTCGCAGCTCCACTTCTGAGTGTCTTTCAGCGTGATCGCCACCCGTTCACGCGCTGCAGGCATATGTAGCGGTACAACGCCGCCTCCATGTCGGGGTAGTGTGAGTGGCGGCCCGCCCCGTGCATCCGCTTACGGCAGTTCGCAGCTCCCTTGTAAAGGCCCGCTGCAGCCTCCGCGCTCCAGCGTCTGATGCAGGCGATGGAAGCGGTGGATTCCGGGGAGGTCTTCTTGAGGGAGCCGAGCTCGTGGTAGCGGACGCCCACTTGAGCTTCTCGCGTACGGTCCATCCGCGCCTCGCCCTCTTAATACCGCGGTTGCGAGGGGAAGGGGGGCGGGAGTTGGGATTACGGAGGGTGGGGTCTTTCGGCTTCGCCTTCTCAGGGAATGAAGGAATGGGGCCTGCAGCCTCCGCGTAGTCATCGTCGCTGCCGAGCGCCTCGTTGACCACGATGTCGTCCTTGATTGTCTTCTTCTTCTTCTTCTTCTTAGAAGCACCCGTGCTGGAACCTGGGTCGTCGTCTTTCTTCCACTTCTTGTTGCTTGTGCGGCGACGAACGGTGGCCTTAGCAGGGACCTCCGTCACCTTTGTTTTCCCCTTGTCTGCAGAAGTGAGGCGCGGTTAACGCTCCTCCCCCGAACTGTCGTCATCGGAGAGCACCATACGGGCACGCTTCTGCTTGGTTTGTAGGCGATGACGGAGCCTCCTCTTCAGAAGAGGAACATCGTCGGCCGCCGTGATGCGCCAAGGGTTGTCTTCGGAATCTTCACCATCAAAGAAGACCGAATCCGCATCCGCATCCGCCTCCGCCTCCGCCTCCGCCTCCGCATCCGCATCCGCATCCGCCTCCGCTTCCACATCCGCGGCCGCAACCGCATCCGCATCAGCTTCCGCCTCCACTTCCGTCCTCGCTTCCGCTTCCACTTCGTCGTCTGCATCCGCATCCGCATCCGCATCCACCGTCGCTCCCGCAGGCACATCTTCCGCCGTCACCGCCGCAGGGGCTTGCACCGTTGCATCCGCCGCTGCCTCAGCGTGCCCGCACCTCCGTCGTTGTCCGAGTCACCAGCCCGTCACTCTTCCAATTCGTCGTCGGAGCCAACCGGCCGATTCCAGCATTCGTCGTCGTCGATGTCGCCAGCAGGTATTTCATCCCCCGACGCGCTGTCGTCGTGGCCGTTCTCCAGCCAATCCTCCTCGCCGTCGTCGCCGTGTTCTTCTTCGTCGTCGTCCTCGTCACAGCTCGCACCTGAGGCGGCGGTAGAGCATCTCGCCTTGCACGTATCCGTCGCCATAGCTACACGGATGTCATCACCGGGCGAGTTGATTCGCCCGTAGTTGTTCACCTTCATGTGAGGGCGAGGGGACGCCGTGCCAACGGGGACTTTGCTGCGCATGATTCAGCCTGCCGAGAGCAAAGGTTGAGCTAATCTCAACCTTCTTGAGCACCAAATGAAGCTCAAGCCCGACTACCCCCCCCCCCAGCCAGAGGGCCCCTTCCAAAGGCTGCCGAGCCACTCCTCTACGAGGAATCTCCTCGTACAGGACAGCACATGACAGCCCTCACGCTGCCATTGTGCTGCCAGCAGCGTTCTGGAAGCATCCATGCGCTGCTGGCAGTAAAACGACGCTGGCAGCATCATTAGATGCTGCCCGCACGGAGGGATGTTGCCAGCACAGGCAGCTTTGCTGCATCCCTCACGTGGCATGTGGTGGCGACGCATGCATCACCACCGAGGTCGGCCAAATTCAATGAATCTGGCCCCTGGGTGGTTTCTACACACTTTGCAAATGTTACAGAGTTTATATAAATTTTTTCCTTTATAAGACTTATAAGACACCCTAAACCGTCCCAAATACAAGACAACTCAAGCATTTTTTCTAGTGTATAAGATAAGACATATATGTCTTATATTTGGGCGATGACGGTAGAAGGCTATAATGGAGTTGTGTTGTCCCAGGCATATTGTGCTATAATAAGTTATCAAACAAGCAATGTACTGCGATAAATTTTCTACACTCGATCAAATTCGATTTGTACAATATACATCTTCAAAAGTTTCTCAGCACTAGAACCTGAGCGAGGGGTCTGCTCTGCATTCAGCCTTAAACCAAGAGAATTCCTGTCCAAACCCTCCCCGTCACCCAAAGCTATTGTGATAGCCTTCTGGACAAGATTGATAGCTTTATACACATACGTAATGCAGCAACATGCCTCTACAAGCTGTAGAAAGCAAGCTTTCACAACTCCACAATGCCCTTTTTGTCACCACGATCCATGCAGCAAAGAAATCAACCCACGTCAGCTACACCACCCCATGTGACCTTCCTCTTCTGTCCCTTTCCCCCCGTCCTCTCCTTCCATCCTCTCTCACTGCTATCCTGCTCCTTGGCTCTCCTTACCACTGCCTCTACGAGATCATCCTCTCCCCCATCGTTTCCATCACCCTCCTCATCGTCTTCCTCGCGCCGCTCTTCGACTTCCTCCTCGCCACCTCCCTCACCAGCAGCATTCTCACACTCCCTACCCTCTCCTTCCGTGTTCCCTCCTACCATCAGCATTTTCCAAGCATTCTGAAAAGCTGAACTCCGTGTCCCTGATGGCCCCAGCTCGCGCCCCCTCCTTTTCTGCCCAGCCTGCTCCACCTGTCTCTCCTTCCTTCCCGACGCCTTAACCTCCACATTGCGCCCCTCTCTTCTCCTCCTTTTTGCCCTCCCAGTCGCAATACCTGTATCACCCTCCATGGCAGAAAATCGAGTAGTATCCACCCCATCCGTGCCAGCAGGAGCAGCAGCAGGAGCACAGGCAGCAACAGCAGGAAGAGTGGAAGGAGGCTGTGATGCATACCCCTGCTGTGGCCAGGCTGGCATGACTGGGGGAGAAGCAGACTGGGAAGGGAAGGTATGGGAGGAAGCGTACGGTGGTGGTTGGAAGGGATGGAAGGGCATGTATGGATAGGGTGGGTAAGGAGGGGGATATGTCTGATATGCGGGGTAAGGGGGCTGGGCTTGGGTAATCTGAGGGGCTGTAGTTGGGGGACCACCTGGGATCAGAGATTGTGTGGTTGCTGATGGAGGCTGCTGCTGCAGTTGTTGGGGCAAGAGTAGCTCTTGCAGTTGCTGCGGCAACTGCTGTTGTTGCTGCTGCTGCTGCTGCTGCTGGGGTAAGAGAAATTGTTGCAATTGCTGCAGCAGCTGGTGCTGTTGTTGCTTCTGCTGCTGCTGCTGCTGCTGCTGCTGCTGCTGCTGCTGCTGCTGCTGCTGCTGCTGCTGGCGTTGCTGGGGTAAGAGCAGCTGCTGCAGTTGCTGCAGCAACTCCTGCTGCTGCTGTTGCTGTTGCTGTTGCTGATGCTGCTGCTCCTGGGGTAAGAGCAATTGTTGCAACTGCCGCAGCAGCTGGTGCTGTGGTTGTTGCTGCTGCTGCTGCTGGTGTTGCTGCTGCTGCTGCCGTTGCTGGGGTAAGAGTAGCTGTTGCAGCTGCTGCAGCAACTGCGGCTGCTGCTGGGGTAAGATTATCTTTTGCCACAGCTGCAGAAGCTGGCGCTGCTGCTGCGACTGCTGCTGGGGTAACATTAGCTGCTGCAGCAAAAGCGGTTGCCGCTGCTGCTGTTGCTGCTTCTGAAACCATGGAGTCTCCGCTGCTTGTGTGCCTCCTGCTGAGGTACCACCACCCACCACTGCTCTCGCTGCTGCTGGTGTGTATATCTCTGCTACTGGTGCTGCTCCTGCGGCTGCTTCTGTTGTTCCTACTGCTGCTGGCACTACTGCTGCTGGCACTGCTGTTGGCACTACTGCTGCTGGCACTGCTGCTGGCAATGCTGCTGCTGGCACTGCTGCTGCTGGCATTGTTGCTGCTGTTACTGCTACTGCTGCTGGCACTGCTGCTGCTGCTGGCACTGCTGCTACTGCCGGCAATGCTGCTGATGTTACTGCTGCTGCTGCTGGCACTGCTGCTGCTGCTGGCACTGCTGCTGCTGCAGGCGCATGCGACCCCCCTCCAGCGACAGGCCATGTTCTCAGGGAGGGCTGCGTGTGGGGACTGGGGGCACCAGGTGGTGCTGCAGCAAAGCGAGCAGCAGGTTGCAATGGGGCGGTGGGTGGGCGCGGCAGCAATGGACGGAGGCGGGCAGCAGGTGGGCGAGGAGTGGTGGATGATCCACGCTGCCATGGGCCTCCGGGAACTGCCTCATACCCACGCACGCCTTGCCATCCACACAGCCACTGCTGCTGCTGCTGCTCTGACACATGGCGTGAAGGCAGCTGAACATGGTCCACTGCGCCACTATCACTACCGCTGTCACTATCATCGTCACCACCCACACCATCTGCATCCTCACCCTCTCTTACACTGCCTTCCTCACCACCAAACGACCACAAGCCATCCCACTTGCTCCCCTCCACCGAGCACGCCGCTCCTCTCCCCGCTCGCTTTCCTCCCTCTTGTCCTTCTTGCCCTCTTCCTCCTTTGCCTCCTCCCTGCCTTGCGCTCGCCTGTCCTCGCCCCTTCCCGCCTCTCCCACCCCCACATGTCTCACCGTCCACTTTCCCCATCTTCATTCCAACATCCACTTCGCCTGCCTTAACCCTCCTCCTCCATTCCACATCCTCCTCCTTCCATCCGCGCCTCCCCCCTTTCCCAGGGCGGTCCTCCAGATGGTCATAGTAATACGGCAGGTTGAACAGAAAATTCCTCCACACTCCACCATCCCTTCTACCACCCCTCTTCCCCCTTCCCGCCCCCTCTCCCCCCCCTGCACCAGTCCCTGCCAACCCACCCTGGTCTCCCTGCGCATCCCCCCCTTTGACGCCCCCCTGCCCCGTGCCCGTGCCGCCCTGCTGCTGCTGCACGTGGAGCCACTTGCACCACTTGTGGCCCTGCCGCACGCGCATGCGCACGCGCCACTGGTCCCCGTCCAGGCCGCGCAGCAGCGCCCTCACGTCGCGCCCATCCGCCCAGTCCTGCAGGTCTATCCCCGCCTCCACCGCCGCCTCTACTGCCTCTGCCGCCTCTGCTGCCTCTGCTGTGTGCTCCCCGTGCCGTGCTGCTAGGCTGTCTCTCCGTGGTGCTGCAGGAGATAACCGTGTATGCGCTGATGCCTCCATTGACCACACCACCTCCCTCTGTGCTGCTTGCCTCTTCCGCTTTCGCTCCGTGCCTGGCCTCTGCTGCTGTGCAGCTGCCTGCGCCAGCTCTGTTGATGATGCATTGCCAGCAGCACCAGTGTGGGGAGCAGCAACAACAGAAGCACCCACAGTGGAGTCTGCAGTGGCTGCAGCACCAGCACCAACAGCACCACCACCACCAGTAGCAGCAGCACCACCACCAGTAGCAGCAGCACAAACAGCAGCAGCAGCAGCAGCAGCAGCAGCAGCAGCAGCAGCAGTGCGGGTAAGCGTGGCAGCAGGGGGCAATTGGAAGAGTTGTGAGATGCAGGAGGGGTGGATGTCCCAGCGCTCCAAGAAGGCAAGCATCCACTCGCGGTTCAACGCGGAAGGGGAGGATTGCGGTGGCGAGGACACGGCGTGGGGAGAGGAGGATGGCGCACAGGCAGGCGTGGTGCAGTGCATGTGCAGGCGATGGGCAAAGCGCTGGATGGAGGACGCAGACACGCTCACAGGGTGCCACACGGATGCTGCTCTCGTCTCTCCCCACTCGCACTCCACTTGCTGCCTCTGCAGCCTTTCCAACCGTCTCTTGATCCACTTCGCCAACACCCCCTCTCTTTTTGTGGCCCCTTTTCTCTCTCTCCACAGGTGCCATGCCTCATCCCCATTCTCCCATCTACTCATTCCGTTCCATTCATTCTTCTCCCTCTCGTTCCGTTGCTCCTCCTCCCTCTCACTCCCCCTTTCCATCTCCCTCTCCCTCTTCCTCTTCCTCTCCCTCTCCCTTTCCTTCTCTTTCTCTTCAAGCTCCCTCAACCTCTTCCTCTCCTTCTCCCTCTCGCTCTCCCTCTCCCTTTCCCTCTCCTTCTCCATCTCCTGCTCCCTTTCCTTGTTACCCTCTACTTCCCCACAGTCCACACGTGTACTGTTTCCTGCATTTGGCTTGCTCATCACGTCATATCCAGCTGCCTTCCTCAACTCCCCATTTCCATCCGCCATTCCTCCCACTCGCCTCTTTACCACCTCCGTCCTCCCCACACTCTCCCCAGCGTCCATGCATCTTCCCGCCTGCTGCCACGCGCGCTGCTGCAGCGACTCCCTGCAGGCAGCCAGGTCGTGCACGAACTTGGAGCACCACTTGGACGAGAAGTGAAACTCCGGACTCACTCCCACCAGCGCCCCGATTCTCCTCGCCACCTCGATAATCACCTCCTTCCGCAACAGATACTGCAACCTCACACTCCCCCCACCTCTCCTAGCAGGCAGCGCAGCAGCGGGTGCAGGGCGGGCAGGCCAGGAGAGAGTCTGCTTGTGGATCTTGATGACAGCGCCAATGTCCTCCACCCACCGCGCCAGTGCCACCTCCAGCAGCCGCGCCGCCTTCATGCGCGGCCTCTTCAGCATCGCCACACACAGCCCCGCCGGCAGCTGCAACAGGCGCTGCCGCTCACACAGAATGGCTGCCAGCACGCCGGGGCTCAGGTGCACGTTCCAAGCACGCTTCACTGCCGCAAGGATCATGTCCTCCCGCAGACCCGGCCGAGCCTGCACCACCAGGCACAGCGCACGCACGCGGCTCAGCGTCATCCCTTCCAGTACTACCCGCCTGTCCCCTGCCCCTCTGCTGCCCTTGCGGCACAGGGGCCGCCAGAGGCAGATGAGCCCCTTTGTATCGCCCTTGCCGGGGCTCTCGTTGCTGCCAGCATGGCCCCTGTGCCCTCTCGCACACTCCTGCCCTGCTGCTGTGTAAGGAGGCGGCAGGTGTAAGGAGTAGGCGGCAGTGCGAATGAAGAGGGGTTGAGTGGGCAGCACGCTGTGGTAGGTGGTGCCCAGGCACGACAACCGACGCACATGACGCCGCCGACACGACCTCACTGACCCGCCCTCTACCTCCTTCGCTCCCCCCCCCTCTACCCTATTCTCTTCCCCCACTTCTACCCTCTTCTCTCCCCCGCCCTCTACCCTCTTCTCTCCCCCCCCTTCAACCCTCTTCTCTTCCCCACCCTCTACCCTCTTCTCTCCCCCGCCTTCTACCCTCCCCTCTTCCCCACCCTCTACCCTGCCTTTTTCCCCAGCCTGTACTGTGCCCACTCCCCCATCCTCTACCCTCCCATCTCCACCTGCCTCTTCCCTCCCATCTCCCCCATCCCCATCCCTCCCTTCACCCCCATCCTCTTCCCTCCCTTCTCCCCCATCCCCATCCCTCCCTTCTCCCCCATCCTCATCTCTCCCTTCTCCCCCATCCTCATCTCTCCCTTCTCCCCCAACCCCTACCATCTCCTCGCCACTCCCGTTGTCTCCTCCTTCCTCTGCGCCTCTCCCACACTCATCTTCCCCTTCGTCACTTGACTCGACCACCACCATATCCCCACGTCCCTCCTCACCCTCCTCACCCTCCTCACCCTCCGCACCCCGCCCACCCTCCACACCTGGCACATCACCCACACCCTCCTGCGTCTTCGCGCGCCCCTCCGTGCCCGCTCCCACAGGAGCACGCCTGCGCGTGCGCTTCTTGGGGACGGCAACGTACGTGTCCCACACGATGCTGCCACGGCCCGGCCTGCCCTTGACAAGCACCTGCGCCTCCAGCACGGCTTCCTCCACCACGTCTCGCCGGAACTCCCTCACCGTCTCCCTCGCTGCACGCTCTGCAGCACCCAGTACCGCGTCAAAGTGCCCGTCACCCACCTCCACCTCAATCAATGCCTCCTCTTCCCTCCTCACTCCTGCCTTTCCTCCTTTCTTACACTTCGCTCCTCCATTGCTCTCCTGCCCACCCTCCTCCTCACTCCCCTCCTCACTCTCACCTTCCTCTCGACTTGAACTGTCACTCTCACTCTCCTCACTGCCGGCGCAATTGCCCTTCTCCCACCCTGTCACGCATGTCCTTTTCGCCCAATTCACGTCCCAACTGTTTGCTAGCGCCTTGTAAACAGATTTCTTTTTACGACCACTTCCCTTGTGCCTCTTCCCTGTATCCCGCACACCTTTGCTGGTAGTGGTGGTGCCGTATCCACCAGCACCACCACTACCAGCACCACCACAAGCACCACCTCCACCACCACCACCACCACCACCACCACCACCACCACCACCACCACCACCACCACCACCACCACCACCACCACCACCACCACCACCACCACCACCACCACCACCACCACCACCACCACCACCACCACCACCACCACCACCACCACCACCACCACCACCACCACCACCATCACCGTGCAGATTCCTCTCACCTTCCCTGACCTGCCATTTGTGAAGCCCAGCACAAAGCATGTTGTTGCGGTCACAGCCATCACCTCCACCACTCCACACAGCGCCCTCCTGCCCATCCTCGTCCGCCTCTACTTTTACCACCACCCTCTGCGTTGCACCCATATCCCCTCCCCGCCCCTCACTCTCCTCCCCTTCATCACCCGGTGCCCGCTCAGTGAGCGGCAGCAGCAGCAGCCCATAGCGGCGCATGAAGGCGGACACCCATTTCTGCGTAAGGGAGCCTTTCACCTGCGACAGGTACTTGGGCGCCAGGGCATGCGCGTGCACTAGAATGCGCTCCACAGTGGCCTCCCTCTGCTTCTCCCGCTCCTCCCTCAGCACCCACGCCGCCACCGCGTCCTCCAGCCGCACCACCTCCATGCTGCCCGCGGGACTGCCGCCCGCCTTGATCCACTTGCGCTGCTCGCGCGCGATGCGCTGCACCTTCTGGGGGGACACGTCCACGCCGTACTTGGCGAGCACCACGGCGGAGATCACCGTGGCGCTCACGTGCGCGCGCAGGCACCGCAGCACCGCGATCTCGTACTTCACGCGCACGTCCAGAGGGGGGCGCGCGCCCTGGGCGGGCAGCGAGAAGCTCGTGGGCCGGTTCTTGGAGCCCAGGAGCGGGTGCCTCCACTTCCCCTCCGCACCACTCCCTTCTCTGCCTCCTCCTTCGCCAACCTGTGCGTTACCATCCCGGCCACCCCCACCATCTCCGCCACCCCCACCATCTCCGCCACCCCCACCATCTCCGCCACCCCCACCATCTCCGCCAACCCCACCATCTCCGCCACCCCCACCATCTCCGCCAACCCCACCATCTCCGCCATCCCCACCATCTCCGCCACCCCCACCATCATTATGAAGTCTTTCTCTCGCCCCCTCTGCGTCCTCGTTACCTTCATCTAACATTCTTTCCAAACCTCCCACGCTTTCACCTCCGCCCCTTCCTCCTCCTTCCTTTTTGCCTCCCCTTTCCTCTCCTATACCCCCGTCGTCTTCTCCCCCTCCTTCTCCTCCTCTTCCTTCCTCCCCTCTTCCCCTTTCTTCGCCTCTTCCCCCTCCCTCGCCTCCTCTCCCTCGCCCGGCTTCGCCGCCTCTATCCTCCTCGCGCTGCTCCGCGTCCACTAGTCGATCGTTCACAACTGCACATCGCAAAACAGGGACGATGGAGAGGTAGATTCTGTTTCGGGTACCTGTCAGTTGCTTTCATCGTGGGCGCCTCGTCACCCCTCCCGTGTCGATTGGAGAGGCTGCGTGACGGCGTCTCCAATCGAGGGCGCCTCGTCACCCCTCACGTCTGGTTGGTCTGCGTTTCATACCTCGCGAAATTAGTTTTCTTCGTGCTCATCAGATGTTACTTTGCTCCAGTTTCGCCCCATCACTGTACTTCGTATCGTAGGCAGTTCGCGTGATTGGCCTACAGTTTTGCCCCGAGAGCAGCTAATAAGTTACTCTTATATGTAGGTAAAAGATTATGTACGTAGGTCGGACGTACTCATTTTATATAAAAAAAACTTATGAATCAGTAAACCTATCGGCACAGCACTGAAATCTCAGGGGAAAAAACTCAGCCAGAACTGATCAATCAGGGTTTTTTTTTTTTTTTGTTGTTTTTTTCAGGGGGAAGCACTAATTGGTCAAAGTGCCTTGAATTTGGTCTGAGGGCCTGGCCGGGAAGATCGAAACAAGTTCTTGGTTTCCAACATCATACATATCTGGCTCCACATTTAGGATATTTCGTTCACAAGTGAATTTTATCTACTACCGTTCCTCAGGCATTCTCTTGAACACTGGGTCAAGAGTTGTTCAAGCGGGTGCTCCAAAGAGTGCATAATGTTGAAACAAATACTACCGTATCCCTAAAATGTGAAACCAAATACCGTATATAGGCTAAGTGATGTTATAACCGAAGAATCGTAGTGGACAGGATAAAGCTGCTAAGTATAGGAGAGAACTGTGAAAGTCTCTGTGGTGACCTTGTTAATAAGATTTGAAAAGAACAAGATGATTATAAGATAGAGGTACAAGGATATAATAGCAATCCTAGCTAGCCATGTACTCTGAGGGGTACATTCCCTTATTAACCGAATTGCATTGCTACAGTAACCACGACTATTGCCATTCTAGACAGTTACCATGTTGCACTTCGTAACTGCCTTGTGTGGTTACTGGGCAGTCATGGGTCACGACCGTTGACTTGTCTTCGACTGTTG